AAACTGCGACTTCAGTTCAAGCTCTTTCATAAACCACTTTTTGGTTGGAAAGGCTCATTTGTTGTCACGCAGGTTAGTTGTTTCAAAGGAGAGAAGGCTTCCGATACGGCATAAATTGTAGTCTTAACTGCGTGACAGTAATAACTATTTATCACTGACTGTGGTCAATAAGTGTGTGCATGTTTAAAGGTTGCTGCAGAGCGAAATGTATCGTATGACCACGGGATGGAGGGATCTATAGCCGAGGATTGTTTCTTTTCAATGATCGCAATGAAGCACGGGTATACTTTTGATTTCATAGAAGGTCAGTTCGCTGTTGTTAATGTTAATCTTATTGAGAATGTTTGCTTTTTATTGATCTGAATCCCATTTTATAGGTGAAATGCATGAAAAGAGTCCATTTACAATGTGGGATTTTCTGCAGCAACGGAAGCGCTGGCTACAGGGAATTCTATTAACAGTTCACTCGCCACGAATTGCACTCACACATAAGGTTATATATTTATTGATAAAATTTCCTATTGTCAGCGTAATTGTCATATTTAACAATGTTTCTAATTTAGGCACTCCTCGCATTATCTTTGTATGCATGGGCAACGATGCCATTGACTTCTCTTCAAGTAAGCACTTTTCGAGTCCATAGCAACGGTGATAACATAGACTCAGCACTGTGGACGTGCTACGAAAATTCATTGTGGCACTGTAAATATCACCTTAGGGGTTGGATAGATCTCGCATAAGAAAGCACGTTGTTGTTTTGGACAACGACGAATTCTGTGTAAAGTTAGGTAATTAGTTCTCAAGTATAGTGTATCTTATCCTGCGCAGTCTTAATGAAAAAGCGCGGCTATTGATGCTATTGATGCTCAAGTGTTTGATCTGTTACTGGTGGCATCCTACCAGGGGGAGCTTTTAACTGTCCCTGTGACTGTGACTGAAGACTTTGGTAAATCTCGAATCTAGAATGCTGGAAATAAATGTTCAGATAGAAGTAGACTTACAATTTTGAGCGGTAAAAGTTCCAGGAAATGCGGCCTAATCTTCCGCGTCAGCACTTTTAATTTTAAATGAAACTTTGCTCGTAGGGATGAATAGGCGGCCTGGTCCGGAATATGACATTACTTTTTGACACAGGTGCCGTTCGATCAGTTGAACGCCACAACTTATTTTTGCTGCATCTGGTGATAGCTTTGATCGCTCAACCCTTGCTTGGAAAGTCCACCTAGCAGTTTTGGTCTCCACATTTGTGACTACTTTGACTCTATCGAGTTATCCAAATCTCCACCCAAAATTCCATGAAAAGAAACTCAATCGACTTATCATGCGAAGCGTTCAACATTCAGGTGTTCCTCTGTCCGCTCTTCCCCCTTCCTCGTTGTCTGCCCTTCGACTTTGCGCTTTCGTTTGTTGGTGCTGTGAATCTATACATGTATATATTCGGAGTGGTGAAGTCGTTCTCACACAAATACAGGTATTCCAGTAAATTTCTTGAGAGCTCTTTGAATGCAGTAAGCATTTCTACCTTCAACCATTATTACAGGAACAGTGCTTTTCGGCTGATGGTCTACTTATTGGGAGCACTAATGACGATACCATTCAATGTTATCATAGAGAACGCAGCCGTGCTGGTTGGAATGTGTGGTCGGAAAGATCAATTCTACATAGTTAACAAGGATATTCAAACCGTATAGCAATTGCTGTAATGCTGCGCGAAATGCCAAGGCTAAATCGCTAAGGAAAGAAAAACGCTGGGTCTTTTATAGCTCAAAATCCTTTGCATATATACTATTTATTCGTGATCTTCTCTACACTTTTGATAGCTAAATTTCCTACATTCGCTGCATCGCTTTCAGTGATGTGTTTTGTGCCTCTTTACTTAAAAAAATACTCGGTTGCTGCCGTCTGCCTGAACGTTTGTGTTAGTTGGTTGATGTTTGTTTGCGAAGGGTTTATCAGAATTACGTTAGCACTTTGTTTCGTTGTAAGTTTATGGCATTGTGTACTGACCAGATATTGAGTCGAACCAATGCGGTCCATATTTATTTTGAGTGATGTGTGCCCGCAAGAGCATGAGGTCCAAGGCAACTGTAACGCAGCAGTCTAGCCTGGGTGTGAATTCACTTAAGGAGCCTAATGGGTTGTGACCCTCCATCATCTACAAACGATGGCAATGCGCTACGTATTCAGTTAATATGTTGTAAAATTACAAAGCAATATAGTGTGAACGTAATTCTGTAGGCTTGTATTTTTGGTACGAGTGTCGTTTTATATGATGATCCGGTTGACGATTCCTGTGATTTTTCGTTTGTCTAGGCTTGTATCACATATAGATTATGATGGCTCATTTTTTATTGTATTATAATTTATGTTACTCACTGACTGCCCCCCTTCGAAAGCGGACATGCTCTCTCCATCCCTCGCGCTTGTCTTTATTTCTAGCACCATAATACGAATCTCTTAATTTCTATGCTCATTGTTGTTTCTCTTTTTATTGCTGTAGCATCACACAATTAATTGTCTCTGATGTTAAGCGAGGGGAATGCCCTATAGTGCCATTTGTTTTGTTGGCTGACGTAACCGGGCCATAATCACGCTTTATGGGTTCGTTGAGACATGGATCCGCTAGTAATCGTCGTCTGGTTAGAACGACAGATTTTGGAAGTGTGCTGATAGTGTTTTATGTGACAGGACCTTTACTTTTATAATGGTACTTCGACACGTATTTGTAGCACTCGCTCTGAAATCTGTCGCATACGATCAGGTCGAGACTTTCGGGTACCACTTCAACCGCAGCCACTTATGTACGGGTTGTTTTCAGTCGATGTATGGCTTATCTCAAACGAAGCCGTCATCAATTGCTTAAGCTTTCATCCATGACTTTTCTCCGCCTTATATGTTTACAAATGAATGCCAATGAAGATTCTATATGAAGACGTACTCTTAGTTCTTCCACATTGCTTTACCAGCCAGGTGGTGCAGCACTGCGACGAGTGTGTTTCTAAGCTGAATGATGCAGGAAAGTGAAAGCAAACTTATATCAAGCATCCAAATATTGCCAAGGTGAAACGACGTCTTGCCGTAGGAAAGCAATATATGGCTAAACAAGTGTGTTAAGATGGTGAGGTACGAAGGGATCATTAGGGGCGTCTTTGTGTAGCGAAAATAAACATAAGGTAACGGCAAAATACGTAAATATGCAATCGTCTATGCGAAAAGTGACAAAAAGGAACCAAAAATCTAAGCTAGTAGGAACTCACGGAACTGAAGCAGCAAAGGGTGATTTCAGTGACCTTACGTTTACATTGAAAGACTGACCCTAACGCCATTCATTTATGAGCTGACATAAAAACATTCTTTGGAAGGAGTTGCCAAATGAGGGATTACGAGTTGCACAAAATTGCAGTATCGTTGGCAACTGCGATACGCTTCGAGCAGATAGAGTCCAATAATGGCAACTGCGATACGCTTCGAGCAGATAGAGTCCAATAATGGATAAAAAGCTGATTTATAAGTGTTCATCGAGATGGTGATAGTGATTAATAGTGACAAGATTTCGTGGTAACAAAGCCATAATAGGGCTAGATTGAACGGACCAAGTCAACAGTGGCCCAACGGACCAAGTCAACAGTGGCTCCGAAACGGTCTGACTGCATGTAGCACCAATTTCGTGAAGCAAGCATAGAAATAGGCAAGATATGAGTGTCACTAGAAGAAGATCAATGTGACAACACAAACATACAATAAATAAGAGGGAAAGGGAAACCGTCCGTCAATGAAACCATGGCTAGAGCAACTGTTACCATTCTAACGTGGTGTTATGAATACGGTCAGCCACTCAACTACCATACATATAATTACCACTTACCAGTCTGCTTTTAGTCACCGTAAGTGGAAGAGAGTGATGAGATGAGGAACGAGGGGATGGCAGGTAACTGCGGACACACCCGATTCAGACCACTGTTGAGACTTCGTTTTAACGTGATATAACGGTTATTGGTAGCCCCCCCCCGCATTTGTGGATAGTGCATCCCTCATGTTGGGTTTCTCAAAGCTCCGGAAGGCCTAAAACAGCAGAGAATGTTTAGAAGAGCTCTGGCGCGGATAAAATGGTATTTATTATAAACCAGATTAGTCCCCCGTCAACCGCCGGGACCTTCCTTTCCTGCGCAAGCTTTCTATCCTCCGCTATGGTCCCTTCCTCCTGTGACACCAACACCTCCTGGAAGTGACGCGTATGCAACACAATGGTGTTTCAAACAGTAGAAGGGACACAATCATGATATGACGGTAGATTTTTCGCTTCCCTTCCTCATCCTCCCTTCCTCTCTCCACTGCCCTCCAGCTGCCACTGCAGCACCATGTGGAATGAACGGAAGTGTGTGCTAAGCAGGTGTTTATATAGCCCTGAGAGTGTTATCACAACTATCCTGCTACAAAACATTGATATCTCAAATCCTGTAAGCTACCCGATTTGTTAGCGGTTTGTTTATCCCATGAGCTTCCTTCTCACTCACTTCATTTTGCGGACGGACACACATACACACACACACACACACATACAGATACACAAACCGACACACAAAGTTAGCGCTTTATATAATAGAAGGATAAATGACCGAATCGGAAACCTTCTGCAGAGCTCTCTGTAGGGCTTGGTAAAATCATTTGTTTATCAATATGTTTACTGGGTATGTTTTCACGTAAGGGAGCCAAAAAACAATGTCGGCTCCTTAGAATCGGTGTGCCACTCAAACACTCAAGTGTGGATTTACATACAGCTATATTTTACCACTATTCAATTGTACTGTCAGTAATAATACGACGATTATCTCGTCACATTTGACGAATTCGATCACGCAGCTGCCACAAGTAACAATTTATTCTCCTCTGCCTCCATATCCGGCCCGAGATCGATCGACGATAATTGATCGAGTTTGTGAAACCAGAAAGATCCGTGCGAGTTACTGTTTTCGCATCTATCAACTCATTATTCCCTATAGTTTATAATCCGCATCACGCTGAAACAACAACGGAATCCAAGGTGTGAGTATTTCGACTTCCGCATTCGGTCAAGTCTACCTCATTTTCTCACTTGTACTGTAATGGCCATTCTAATATTGCTGCTACTTGCCCTCTCAACTTCTGCTCAAGATTCACATGACGGCACTCATACCAGTGGAGTCAGCACTATGAGCCCCGGAGCCGATCTCCAGCAGCAACTATTTGCTGAACAAAGTTATACAACTGGATCTACACTTCAACCGATAGCTCCAATACTGATGGAACAAACTACCCAACCTGCAACCTCTTCAACTACTCTAGTACCATTACCGGTGAACAGGGTACGCGACAACTATGACATATAATTCTCGTGTTCTAAAAAGTCGTGGACAATCAGATCTCCTAGCCATATGAGAAACAGCTGTCTATTTAGGAAGCACTTTCAACCTGTATGGGAAAGCTGAAACTCGCGTGTATGGTGAATCTGTATGTAAGGCGACTGCTAGATAAATACGTTGGATCAGGACGATTAGACAAAATTAGAGACGTAATTGAAGCTGAGGTATGATAAAAACTACTTATTATAACCTCATTTCGTTTTTCAAAAAAGGAACAAAACATTGCGAGAGAGAGCGACGCATGACAACAATCATCGCAACTAACAGCCAAAGCGATTCACTTTTTTTGTTTTTTTTGTTTATTTTTACGTTATCATTATGGCGCACTTTTATATCACCTGTCCATCATTATGGCACACTCCTATTTCACCTATCCATTTTTTATTTCGCTTGGCAGCATTGCTGAATGGAACTCCTCTCCAGACAATATCTCGCCGTCGAGTCTACAGATTTGACGTGATGGCGCCCTCATTTGATAGAAGTCGAGTGAGTAAGCTGTTTCCAGCATGCTTTGCTGAGTTCCAGCAAAGTGTATTGGAAACAGCTTAGACCGACGTCATAGTCGGCGACGGAACAAGCGATGGAGCCATCGCGATCGCTCCATCGCTTGTCCGT